TCTTAAGTTGGTAAGCAACTTCAGCAAAGTCTCAAAATACAAAATCAATGTGCAAAAATTGCTAGCATTCCCATATACAAACAATAGGCAAGCTGAGAGCCAAATCATGAGTGAACCTCCATTCACAATTGGCACAGAAAGAATAAAATGCCGAGGAATACAGCTAACAAGGGAAGTGAAGAATCTCTTCAAAGAGAACTATAAACTACTGCTCAAAGAAATCAGAGATGACACAAACAAATGGAAAAATATACCATGCTCATGAATAGGAAGAATCAATATCATGAAAATTGACATACTACCTAAAGCAATTTATAGATGCAATGCAATTTCCATTAAACTACCACTGACATTCTTCACAGAATTAGAAAAAAACTATTTTAAAATTTATATGAAATCAAAACAGAGCCCAGATAGTCAAGACAATCCTAAGCAAAAGGAACAAAACTGGAGCCATCACGCTACCCAACTTCAAACTACACTATAAGACTACAGTAACCAAAACAGTATTACACAAGTACAAAAAGACTCAGAGACCAATGGAACAGAATAGAGAAGCCAGAAACAAGTTTGTACACCTAAAACCATCTGATCTTCAAAAAACGTGACAAAAACAAGCAATGGGGAAAGAATTATTTATTTAATAAATGGTGCTGCTATAACAGGCCAGCCATATGCAGCAAATTGAAACTAGACTCCTTCCCTATACCATTTGCAAAAATCAACTCAAGATGTATTAAGGACTTAAATGTAAAGCCCCAAAACTATAAAAACCATAGAAGAAAATCTAGGCAATACCATTCAGAACATAGGCATGGGCAAAGATTTCATGATGAAGACACCAAAAGCAATTGCGACAAATGCAAAAATTGACAAATGGGGTCTAGTTAAACTAAAGAGCTTCTGCACTGTGAAAGAAACTATCATCAGAGTGAACAATTTACAGAATGGGAGAAAATGTTTGCAATCTATCCATCTGACAAAGATCTAATATGTAGCATCTACAAGGAACTTACACAAATTTAAAAGATAAAAACAACTTCATTAAAATGTAGGCCAAGGACATAAACAGGCACTTCTCAAAAGAAGACATACATGTAGCCAACAAACATATGAAAAAAGCTCAACTACACTTAACATAAGAGAAATGTAAATCAAAACCACAATGAGATACCATCTTACACCAATCAGAATAGCTATTATTAAAAAGTTAAAAAATAACAGATGCTGGCAAGGTTGTGGAGAAAAAGGAACAGTTTTACACTGTTGGTGGAACTGTAAATTAGTTTGACCATTGTGGAAGACAGTGTGGTGATTCCTCAAAGATCTAGAGGCAGAAATACCATTTGACCCAGCAATCCCATTACTGAATATATACCCAAAGGAATATAAATCATTCTATTATAAAGATACATGCACATGTATTTTCATTGTAGCACTATTCACAATAGCAAAGACATGGAATCAACCTAAATGTCTATCAATGGTAGACTGGATAAAGAAAATGTGGTACATATGCACCATGGAATACTATGCAGCCATAAAAAGGAATGAGATGGTGTCCTTTGCTGGGACATGAATGGAGCTGGAGGCCATTATCTTCCACAGATTAATGCAGGAACAGAAAACCAACTCCCACATGTTCTCACTTATAAGTGGGAGCTGGATAATGAGAAAACATGGACACACGCTGGGGAACAACACACACTGAGGCCTGTTGGAGAATGGGGGAAGGAGGGAGATCATGAAGAAGAATAGCTCATGGATGCTCGGCTTAATACCTAGGTGACGGGATGATCTGTGCAGCAAATCACCATAGCCCATGTTTACCTATGTAATAAACCTGCACATCCTGCACATGTACCCCTGAACTTAAAAAGAAAACCATTAGCTTGATAGACTAATTTAAAAAAAAAGAGAGGGGCCAGGCACAGTGGCTAACGCCTGTAATCCCAGCACTTTGCAAGGCCAAGACAGGCAGATCACTTGAGGCCAGAATTTCAAGACCAGCCTAGCTAACACGGCAAAACTCTGTCTCTATTAAAAATACAAAAATTAGCCAGGTGTGGTGGTGTGTGTCTGTGGTCCCAGCTACTGGAGAAGCTGAGACAGGAGAATCGCCTGAACCCAGGAGATGGAGGTTGCAGTAAGCTAAGATTTCGCCACTGCAATTCAGCCTTGGCAACAAAGTGAGGCTCTCTCTCAAAAAAAAAAAAAAGTTAAAATTTAAAAAGAGAAAACACACAAATTACTAAAATCAGAAATGAAAATGGAGATATAACTACCAATGCTATAGAAATAAAAAAGGATTTCATGAAAGTATTATGAAAAAATATATACCAAAAAATCGGATAACCTATATGAAATGGATGAATTCCTAAAAAACAAAACACCTACCTATAGTAAATCATGAACGAATAGAATATTTCAAAGACTTATAACTAGTAAGGAGATAGAATTAATAATAAAAAATCTTATGACATTAAAATGCTCCAGACCTGAGAGCTTCACTGGTAAATTCTACCAAACATTTAAAGAAGAACTAATACCAAACCTTCTCAAACTTTTCCCAAACATATTAAGAAGTAGGGACATTCCTAATTCATTCCATAAGGCCAAGGGTACCCTGACTTCAAAGACACTATAAGAAAACTACATCCCTTACGAACATTAATGCAAAAATCCTCAATAAAATACTAACAAATCAAGTTCAGTAGCATCTTAAAAGGATTATACACCATGACCATGTGAGATTTGTTCCTGGGATACAGGGATGGTTCAACACATGAAAATTGATCAATGTACACTACATTTACAGAATAAAGGACAAAAAATACATCACCAACTCAACTGATGCATAAAAAAGCATTTGAGAAAATTCAACACCCTTCCATGATAAAAAAAAAAAAAACACCAACAAACAGGACATAAATAAACAGAAATATATTAGATGTTCATGGATTTGAAGACTTACTATTGTTAAGCTGTCCATACTAAACAAAGCAATCTACAGATTCAGTGCAATCACTGTTAAAATCTCAATGATGTTTCTTGCAGAAATAAAAAAGCCCAACCTAAAATTCACATGGAATCTCAAGGGATCCCAAATAGCCAAAGCAATCTTGGCTGTATCTTGGAGGACTCATAGTTCCTTATGTCACTACTTACTAAAAGCTATAGTAATCAAGGAAATGTAATACTGGCATAAAGACAGACATATAAACCAAGAACAGAGTCCAGAAATAAACCCTTGTTTACACGGTCAAATGATTTTTGACAAGGGTGCAAGACCATTGGTTGAATGGGGAAATTGGACATCCACATTCGAAAGAATGAAGCTGGACCATTACCTAACACCATATATTAAAAATTAACTCAAAATGGATCAAAGACCTAAAATATAAGATCTAAAGCTAGCCTTAGCTTAGACAAAAACATAGGAGTAAACCTCTCTGACCCTGGATTAGGCAAAGATTAATCCAATTTCTTGGATTTCTTGGTCACCAGAGGCAACCAAAGAAAAATAGACAAATTGGACTTCACGAAAATTTTAAAAATTTATGAATCAGGAGAATATCAACATAGTGAGAACTCATCTCTATGAAAAATTTAAAAATTATCTGGGCATGGTGGCACATGCCTATAGTCCTGGGTACTTGGGAGGCTGAGGTGGGAGGGTCACTTGAGCCTGGGAGGTTGAAGTTGCAGTGAGCTATGATTGTGCCACTGTACTCCAGCCTGGGCAACAGTGACCCTGTCTCAAAATCAAACAAACAAACACACACACACACATACACAAGAATATCAACAGAGTAAAAACGGCAACCCATGGAATAGGAAATAAAAGAATATTTATAAACCATATGGCTGATAAGGGATTAATATCCAGAATACATAAAGAATTCCTAAAAGTCAACAACAAAAACAACTAATTACACTGGTGATTAAGTTAGCAAAAACCAAAACAACAAAAACAATTCAAAAATGGGCAAAGGACTTGAACAGACATTTTTTCAACGAATATATACAAATGATCAATAAGCACTTGAAAAGAGGCTTAACCTCACAAATCATTAGAGATATGCAAATTAAAACTAAAATGAGATACCACCTCATCCCCATTAGGATGGCTCCTATGGTTCTGCCTTGCTGCTACTTTGAAGAAATTATAGTCAGCCTCTGTTCCCATGGGTTCCACATCTGCAGATTTAACAACTACAGATGGAGAACATTGAAAAATAAATAAATAAATAAAACACAACTGTACCAATAATAAAAAATAATACAACAATTTTAATATAGCATAACAACTACTTACATAGTATTTATATTGCCTTAGGTATTATAAGTAATCTGGAGATGATTTAGTGTATACAGGAGGATGTGCCTAGGTTATATACAAATTCTACACCATTTTATATCAGGAACTTGAACATCTCAGGTTTTGGTATCCACTAGGGCCCTGGGACCAATTCCCTGTGGATACCAAGGGATGACTGTACAGAAATTCTTGACTTATGATAGTTTGACATAAGATTTTTCAACTTTACATGAGTTAATTGGGGTGTTAAATGCATTTTTTAAAATCATATTTCTATTTACAATGGGCTTATCAGGACATAGCCCCATCATACATTGAGGAGGATCTGTATTTATTTCTAGAGAAGAAACTTTCCCTTTATTTTCAACACAAACATAAGACACATGGTCTTCTCCTGTTTTCAATCTCTTCAATTTTACTAGACCAGAGAACAATGGTTCTAGACTCCCATTGCAATAATAGAATTTGACTTGTACATTGTGAAAGTTGTGTAATCCTGATAAATTAAGAAATACTCCCTTTTGGCAAATAAGCTTTAACCTCTACTCCAAATATCTTTGCATCCAGAAGCAACAGTGAATGTCTTAGAGCCTTTGCAGACTACCGGTGAATCCCAGACCCAATAGTGATCTCCTCTGACCCCCATCATTTGAGAGCTGAAATGCACTCTCTGACTCACCGGACTTGGTTGGGACTTCACTTGTGGCCACCTGGGCCCTGTTCTGCAGCAAAGCTCCCACGGCACTGGTAACAGTTGGTTCTTTTTTTGGACCCATCTGAGCCCTACCCTACAGAGAGAGAAAGAAAGAGAGACAAAGAGAACACCTTCTGTAATCTCAGGTACCACATAGGAGGTACAGTTGTTCCCACTTCACCAGCAGCAGACTGGCATCATCTGCAGGGACTCCCTGAATCCAGGAGAAGGGGACAGACACACACCCTGCACTTCAGTTAGCCTAGTTCTTGTCCTCCCAGCTGGTGCTCAAAGCCATATCTGGGTTTTGAAGCTTCCCTTCCATAATGAAGCCCTTGGGGTTGTTAGTGGTATATTCATCCTATAAAATTAGTTGTATGGAGACATAAGAAATCACTTCATGTCAATAAAGGTTAAAGAACATTTTATTTTTTTCATTACAGTTGAAGACAGTTTTGTTTTGTTTTGTTTTGTTTTAACATGAACAGAGAAGAAAAACAGATTGGCAGGCAACAAATGTTTTAAGCATGAAATTACAACATCCCTATACCATCCCCCTCCCTGCAGAGCAGCAGCCGCAGAATAGTTATATTAAAACGAAATAAGGACCAAAAGGTTTCTCACATGCTCCTTTCACCTTGTCACTGATCCCACCTCCAGTTCCATGGAAACTGCAGTATAAAGATAACCTGTTACCCCAAGTGAGAATTCTCACTTGGGTAAGAATGGCTGAGAGACTATAACACACAGCTCATCCCCATTCACACAAATAAAGCTATTTTTAGAGGCCCATATTGGTCTCTTTTGGTTAAGGGTATGACACATTTTAAAAGCTGATTATGTTTAAAATAGAAACATATTTCGGCTGTGTTGTTAACAGCCCTTCAAAACTGAAACAACCCCTCCTTTCCTGTTCCATTTTTGAGTAAGCCTCACTATTAGACAAGGCCCCAAAGTGGTGAAGCTGGCACAAAGGAAACAAATACGGCTGTTCAGATATACTCTACAGTGAGTGAAGGAATTCACAAAGCAAGCAATTTTTCTTCTGTGTTCCCAATCACCACTCAGCTCTGGAAAACAAGGAGAGGAATGGGGCCAAGTCACTGGTTACACTGACAGCCAGCTGGCCTTCTTCAGGAATAAAAACACTTCCGTTTGCTGCTTTCCTGTACTCTCCTTGGCCCCACTAAAGCTGACTAACTATGGAGACCGGTAAGAGGAACCATTTGCAGAAATGTAACTCACCCTTTACTGCTTTACAGAATGTAGGTAGACTTATACAAAGAAACTTTTCCATAATTAGGCTGTAATCAAGCCCAAAGTAGTCATATTCCTCCAAAGGTGTGGTGCCAATCGTATCAACTAGAAAAGGCTACTGGAGAAGGGGAGGGTGGGGTAATGTAGAGAGAGGAAAGGAGGAGCCCCTATGTGCAAGACACTGAACTGGGTCCTTCACTTATCTTTAAGTCCCCCAACAACTCAGCAAGGCACACATGATTAACCCCATTTGACAGATTAAAGTGAATCTCAAAGAATTTAAGTAAATCAGCCAAGTTTACTTAAATTATAGAATTAAAATTCAAACCCTGACCGGGCACGGGGGTTCATGCCTGTAATCCCAGCACTTTGGGAGACAAAGGCAGGCGAATCACCTGAGGTCAGGAGTTCAAGACCAGCCTGGCCAACATGGTGAAATCTTGTCTCTACTAAAATTACAAAAATTAGCCAGGCATGGTGGTGGGCGCCCATAATCCCGCTACTTGGAAGGCTGGGGCACAAGAATTGCTTGAACCCGGGAGGCAGAGTTTCCAGTGAGCTGAGATCGCACTGCTGCATTCCAACCTGGGCAACAGAGTGAGACTCCATCTCAAGAAAAAAAAAAAAGAAATTCAAACCCTGACTACTGAATGTGGAATCCTGGCTTTTTCTACATTGCACTTCTTCCCATGCTATCTCAGATGTCAAGACTGAATCTAAGCCAGGTGTGGTGGCTCATGCCTGTCATCCCAGCACTTTGGGAGGCTGAGGCAAGCAGATCATTTGAGGTCAGGAGTTCATGACCAGCCTGGCCAACATGGTGAAACTCCGTCTCTTCTAAAAATACAAAAATTAGCTGGGAGTGGTGGTGGGTGACTGTAATCCCAGCTACTTGGGAGGCTGAGGCAGGAGAATCGCTTGAACCCGGGAGGCGGAGTTTGCAGTGAGCCGAGATTGCGCCACTGCACTCCAGCCTGGGTGACAGAGTGAGACTCTGTCTCAAAAACAAAAGTAAAAAACAAAACTGAATCTATAAAACTGTATTTATCATACCCACTGCCCCTCAACACAAATATGTCCTCCCTCCTGTGTTCTATTATCTACAGAGATTGTCTTCCTATCTCTCCAGGCTCTGGAGCTGAAAACCTTATTGTCAACTCTGATCCCCTCTTTTATCCTATGTCTAATCATTTTCTCAGTCTCACCAATTATTTCTTAGATTCTCCCTCCCACACACCCTATTAATCTTCCTAATCTAGGCCCTCATTTTTTCCCTGTTGTGGTGGGTCCTACTTGGTCTCCCATTAATCCATGCGGAACAGTAGTTGCAAAAGTGACCTTCCTTAAAAGCCAGTTCCATGTCACTCCAGCCTCCACTGTTCACCCAACCCACACTGCCTGCAGGATGACACATGAGGCCAATTGGACAGAAAGGCCAAGAAACTCCATCGTCAGAGAGAACAGAAGGCAGTGAATAGCAGGAGGAAGAGACGGGATGGCAAAGTACAAAGGAGGACTGCCTGACTTCCTGAGGACTTTCCAGTTCCTGCTTCCAGGCCCTCAGGTCTGGCTGTCCTTGATTTTAGGGTGTCTCTTCAATCAATTCCTCTTTTCTTCCTCTCTCAACTGACTTGAGTTAAAGCCTTTCTAGATCTGGCTGCCTATCTTGCCTGTCCCTGTCCTTCCTTCCCTCCTTCCTTCCTTCCTTCCTTCCTTCCTTCCTTCCTTCCTTCCTTCCTCCCTCCCTCCCTCCCTCCCTCCCTCCCTCCCTTCCTTCCTTTTCTTTCTTTTCTTTCTTTCTCTCTATTTTTTTGAGACAGAGTTTCACTCTTGTTGCCCAGGCTGGAGTGTAATGGCATGATCTCGGCTCACCACAACCTCCGTCTCCCAGGTTCAACTGATTCTCCTGCCTCAGCCTCACAAGTAGCTGGGATTACAGGCATGTGCCACCACGCACGGCTAATTTTATATTTTTAGTAGAGACGGGGTTTCTCCATGTTGGTCAGGCTGGTCTCGAACTCCCTACCTCAGGTGATCTGCCCACCTCGGCCTCCCAAAGTGCTGGGATTACAGGCATGAGCCACCACATCTGGCATCCTGTACCTCTTTCATAGGTACTGTATGCTTTAGCCCCCCAGATGGGTGCCTCAGGCCACAAGCTGGATGTTTTGTGCATAAAGTGCTTCCCAACCCCAACTCTAGGCTGGTGAACCCATTTTGATATTTAAGGGCAAAACGTTTGCTTGCCTTTGAAGACTTCCAGGAATTGCAGTGACTTCTTCTTCCATAGCTCTCCTATATATGCCAACTGTACCAGCTCCAAGTCCTCCTCCATCTTTCAATGACAAATTCTTGATCAACCAGTAGCTAGCACAGTTTCTGGTACATGTGTGATAGTCAATAACTCTCTAATGCTTATGGGAATAGAGCTCATGATCCACAGTCTGTGGGATCCGCTTTTGTTGGAAAGGGTCCCACCCCATTAGATACCGGATTTAACCAGAAGCTTTCTAAACAGGCTGCAGGGGCCAGGCACGATGGCTCACAGCTGTAGTCCTAGCACTTTGGGAGGCCGAAGAGGGCAGATCGCTTGGGCCCAGGAGTTCGAGATCAGCCTGAGCAACACAGTGAGACCCCATCTCTACTAAAAATACAAAAAATTAGCCAGACGTGGTGCCATGCACCTGTAGTTTCAGCTACTCAGGAGGCTGAGGTAGAAGGAGCACCTGCACCTGGGAGGTCAAAGCTGCAATAAGCCATGATTATACCATTGCACTCCAGCCTGGGCAACAGAGTGAGACCCTGTCTCAAAAATAAACAGTCTGTATACACTTAAAGTATTCAAACCAACTTTTCATGGCATCTAAGCATGTCTATGAAACGAATAGTTTTTATGCTATATTGTAGGTATGTACCTGAGACCTTTGATGTGTATGGTGCTGTTTGCTGGCTCCAGTTCTATGGTTTATAAATCTACTGTCTTCCACTTCAGGTTGTTATTTTACTGATTTGCACCTAATTATAACAGCTGCTTCCATTCTTTCACATATCCCTTTAACTTGCTGATTCTGTGACTTTAAATAAAAGGTGAAGACCCCTCCTCTACAGAGCAAAACACATGACCTGTGGGGAAGTTGCCTTGGGACAGCCTGTCCCACTCAGGCAGTTTCACTTTAGATTCGTAATTCTTTTCTGGATGGTTAAGGTTGATACCTACTGTTTGATAAAGAGTTTTGCCATAATACTATAGAAACACTATATATTCAAGTCTTCACCCAAAGAAGCTACAAATACTTTAGAAATGTTTTTTTCTACAACACCCAAAGGTGCCATTAGCTGGAAAGCATTCTCCTTCAAAAGAAGTCAGCTCCCATAGGGATGAGCAATGGTCATCAGTTCTCTTCACCCTTACACTTCTTAGGATGGGTAATTGAGGTTCTCTAGGGAATTCTACCTGCTCACCCCAGGCATGCAAGGGCACAAGAGCCAACACCTGGGGAGAGATAGTTACCTGAGCTCTGGATGTCAATTTGGCTGCTGTCTGAGCTGGATTAAAGACTCGGCGAGAAGACTGATCCTTGCAGAAATTAATATGTCGCTCGGCTGCGGTTTCATTAAACCTCCTCATACAATATGGGCATTGAATATAATCTGAATGTAAAGATAACAAATGGCAATTAACATTTCAAAAACAACTACAGAATTATAGAGTGAACTACATTAAGTGAAATAAGGATATTATGGCTCATGCCAGTAATCCCAGCACTTTGTGAGGGTGAGGTGAGTGGATTGTTTGAGCCCAGGAGTTTGAGACCAGCCTGGGCAACATAGCAAAACCCTGTCCCTACAAAAAATTAGCCAGGTGTGGTGGTGTGTGCCTGTGGTTCCAGCCACTCGAGAGGATAGCTTGAGCCCAGAAGGTCAATGCTGCAGTCAGCTGTGATCATGCACCGCACTGCAGCCTGGGCAACAAAACAAGACACTATTTCAAATACGTAAATAAATAAATAAATATATAAGTAATGATATGAACTCTGCTCCAACATGAAAGAACAAGGTCCCAAACTCCCAAAGGGGGAGACATGCAGGGCTCAACTAAAGGACATGGCAGGGAAAAATGTCACAGCCTGTGCATTCATTTCAAGTATGTGCCCTTGAAATGTTTAAGTGATGTACTTTTCCAGAAAAACAAAGAAGATTATACTTAAGAACTTCCCAATGAAATGAATTATTTAGTAAATCCTGTGTAAAGAAAGTAGTTCTAGAAACACAGAATGTTAATATTGATGGCACAGAAGGGCATAGAATATTCAAAACCTAGGTTGTAGTGCTGGGTGGGTCTTACAGAAGTTACGGAGTTACAGAGGGAGATGGGATGTTTCAAAATGGGGGTTTGGGAGATGTGAACGGAAGTCAATGGGACTGTGTCACTGGCAGAAAGACATACTGCTTTTGCAGTGGCTAGAATTTTTTTTCACTTAACTACTAAGTGAGCAGGCTATATTCAGGAAGGAGATAGTAATAGGATAAAAGGTGAGGACTCAAAAAATAGAAAAGGGAGAAAAGGAGGGATGATAGGAAAGTTCACCAAAAACAGCTTCAGCTTCCAGAGATGCAATGGCCCAGGCAGCTCCTCTCAGCCTCAGGTTCTCTGTGGTTCTGTATAATATCTTTTTGTCTAAATTCTTCTTTCATTTGCAATTACCAGACATAATTGGCTAGTGAGAGAAATGAGAACTGGGAAAGAGCCAAGATCTTCTTAGAACGTGGAGCTGCTCATAGCAAAACTAGGTTGGCACCTACCCCTCTAAATCAAGCAGAGATTGATGTTTGCTTTGTTTTGTTTTAGGTACCTTAAAGGGATAACATACTAGATATCAGCAACATAAAATAATCCCCCCCCGCACCCCAAGAAGGTTGTGAAACTGCATCAACCTCAAACTCAGTGTAGAACTTGTGTTAGTGTATAGTCAAAATTCCTACATGTGTGGATGGATATTTCATGAAAGGATATTAAGAATTTTTTGTAAGCCACCTTTTAAAGCAGTTTGGGGAGTTTTCTATTTGAACAAATCATTTCCTAAAATGTATATTCATAAAATGTAACAATTGTTAAGCACTTACAAATTATCTGGTAACCTTATCCTTTATTTCTTACTCCATCCAGAAGGCAGTACCTCATCATTATTTAATACTGATTGAGCATCTACTTGGTGCCAGGTGCTGTCTTACACCTGGGGATGCAATGTCTCTGAAATCAAGGAGTAAGCATTCTAGTACAGAAACAAATAAATAAAAGTTTCACACGGAGATAAATGCTTTGAAAAAAACAGAACAGGACAGCACTGGAAAATGATAAAAAGCCCAGTGCTAGAGCTTGCCTGAGTGGTTTTGAGCCTGAGTTCTTTACTTGCTATCTGTGTGAACGCAGGCAAGTTACCCAACCTCTTTAAGCTTCCATTTTCCCAGCACCTACATATCACCCATTTCGTCAGGTTGTTGTGAAAGTTAACTATGATAACCCACATAAAGGCTTGGCACAGTGGGCAGGGTGGAATATACTAAATGTTTTATAAATGCTAGCTATTGCTATAAGGAAACAGGTTCAGCAAGGTTATGTTTCCAACTACCAAAATAGAAGTGAAACTGCCTAGGAAAAAAGTACAATAGAAAGTGCCATTATCATTCAGAATTCATTTACAATAGTTTAGAAGAACCATCTAGAACATGGCTCTCAGCTTGGTGGTTATTTCTTCAATTTTGCCAGCTGGAAATCGAAGTCTTACATAAGAAATGCCGCAACCATAAACCCTACTCACATTAGGCAAAGACAATGATCATGGCAATACTGAGTAGCTTCCTTAATCCCACTTGCTCATTCACTCACTGCCACCCTTCTGTGTGTTTGGTACTACATATCACCATGGAGACAGCAGTTGAAGTCTATTTCTCTGCCAATGAAAATCTCAGAGATGACTAGGCAAACAGACAATTACTGCTTGGTGGGATAAACTGTAGAAGAGGAGGCACTAAGGCCTCTGGGAACCTACAGAAGGAACGTAAGTCCCCACCAGAGGGGCAGAGAGCAGGCAGGAGAGGGTCCTGTGGCTGAGAATTCAAGGTTGCTGATTCTATTTATGTTGAACTTCACATACTTTAAGAATTGTTGTGTTTTCTGCAACAATAATCTGAACCCAGCATGACCGCGTTATTTGTTCTACTGTCAGTTCAATCGGAGTCACCTCTCTTCCTCTATCAATAATGTTTTCAGAAAATCACCACGTCCTATTTATTTCGATAGGTAATGATTTTAAAAGTCAGAGTACAAATGAATTCTTATGAGGAATATGGTGGCCAGATCTCACAGAAAAGTGGAAAACCAAGCATTATTTTAAAATGCCAACATTGTGCTGTATATCCATGTCTATGTAGCTATATAAAATGGTAACTGAATGTCCCAGGTCTCACAGAAAAATAACAATTATAAATATTCTATATCACTGTCCCCATAAACTGTCACAGTATCTGAGAAATTTAAATCATTGACAGGCTTAGCTAAGTCACTAAAAAGCAGAATATAGGCATGTCTCAAAAACTGAATCATGAAAATAGGGAAACATGCTGAGGAAAAAAGGGAAATTACTGGCACATTCATGCATGTTAGGCCATGTTATATATAATTCTAGTTATATGTATATAAATTCTCTCATACTGGCTGGGCACAGTGGCTCATGCCTGTAATCCCAGCACTTCGGAGGGCCGAGGTGGGTGGATCACCTGAGGTCAGGTGTTCAAGATCAGCCTGACCAATATGATGAAATCTTGTCTCTACTAAAAATACAGAAATTAGCTGGGCATGGTGATGGGTGCCTGTAATCCCAGCTACTCAGGAGGCTGAGACAGGAGAACTGCTTGAACCTGGGAGGTGGAGTTTGCAGTGAGCTGAGATCCTACCATTACACTCCAGCCTGGGCAACAAGAGCAAAACTCCATCTCAAAAAAAAAAAAAAAAAAAAAAAAAAAAAAAAAAAGGAAAAACAACAACAACAGCAAATAAATTCTCTAGTACTTAAGCCTGAGAATTCTGGGCTAATATAAAATCTCTGCACAAAGAAAATCACCCAATTGTGGTAAAAATATTGGGAGTGCATATAATCATTTGGTTTGTTGCATAAAATTATGTAAAGGGCACAAGAAAGAAGTTCATTATAAAATGATATGTTAGCATAGAAATATAAAGAAAAGAAAAATAAATTGAACATTTGGTGAGGCCTTACAAAAGGAATTTTTTTTTGGAGAAACAATAATCCCCACATTTTAGATCCAACTTGGATCTAACTTGGATCCAAGTTGGATCTAAAATGTGAGAGAAATTCACACAGCAGGACATCTGACATGGTTTCACTTATTCAATTAAAGAACCATAAGGTAGCCATCAATGCTGTAGCTTCTGATCTTAAAATGAATATATTTCTCATAAAAGATGTTTTTTGTTATATGAAACTTGTTGCCAAAGTACTTACATTATTACTAAAATCACAGCACAGATCTTTCTACTGAATATCTTAAGACAACACATCATTTCAAGTTATATTTTCATTAGCACTCAATAAAAGGGAAGCAAATATGAGGATTATTTTCTGGTATAGAAGTTCAGATGACTTATTTTTCAGACGATTTTATAGTATGACTACACTGTGGCTTTTCATTTTTGCACTTTCTTAAATAGTCTTTTTGAGGAATAATTTACACACAAGTAAATGCACCTATTTTACATGTACAGTTCAATGAGTTTTGACAAATGTATCCATTTTAACCACCCTAATTAAAATACAGAACATTTTCATCACCCCAGAAAGTTCCCTCATGCCCCCTTTCAGTCAATATTTTGCAAAACCCAGTCTCAGGCAACCAATTATCCATTTCCTGTTACTATTCATAAGATTTCCCTGACCTATAATTTCATATAATAGAACATCTATGTTACTGCATGTATTTCCTTCTTATTGTTGAATACTAGTCCATTTTGTAAATATTCCACAATCTGTTTACCTATTCAATTGTTGACAGATATTTTTAGTTGTTTCCAGTTTACGCTATATGAATAAAGCTTGCTTACGCTAACATTCATGTAAATATTTTTTATGGACACGTTTCATTTTTTGTATAAATATCAAGAAATGGAATTGCTGTATAGGCTAAGTGTATGTTTAACTTATTAAGAAAATACCAGTGCAAAGTGGTTGTACTATTTTATACTTCTATCAGCAGCATATGAGACTTCCAGTTGGTCCACATCATAGCAAACACTTAACAGTGTCAGTCTTTTTCTTTTTTCTTTTTTGAGACAGAGTCTTGCTCTGTCACCCAGGCTGGAGTGCATTAGCACAATCTCTGCTCACTGCAACCTCTGCCTCCAGGTTCAAATGATTATCATGCCTTAGCCTCCCAAGTAGCTGGGATTACAGGAGTGAGCCACCATGCCCGGCTAAATTTTTTGTATTTTTAGTAGAGACAGGGTTTGCCATGTTGGCCGGGCTGGTCTCGAACTCCCGGCCTCAAGAGATCCACCCACCTCGTCCTCCCAAAGTGCTGGGATTACAGGCATTGTATTGTCAGTCTTTAATTTTAGCCATTGAAGTGGATGTGTA